GCTTTCAGAAAAAGACAAATGCAAAAGACTCATCTTGTGAAATAAAATAGCTTTGGCTGTGTGAAAGTGCTGTATATTAGAATTTCATTCATGCATTCAGTTGCTTAATTTAACTGTATGGGATTTTGTATGTAATATGCTGGCATAGAGGGTTTTTTAATGGTGCCTGAATGAGAAAGGGTGACTGCCCAGCATCTGGGTGTTTTGCAGTGTTACCAATTATGTGCTGTAACTGGAAGATCTGCATCCTTTTCCTGTTTGCCGTTCTGGTCTTTGTAACTAAACATGCACTAAGGGCTGTTGTCTTTTTGCTTTTGTTTCCATTTATGCTTTTTGGTCTGTCCTGCAAACTGATCTGTGTGAGGGGCACGTCTGCAGCAATAATCTGGATGGGTTGTTCTGTGGGGGCTGCAAGTAAAGAACAAGCTGAACCCCATGTCCATTCCCAGTCATTGAGCCGCTTATTGAGAGCTGCAGAGGGACGGTATGTTGCCATACCGTTTGTAGAAGTTTCACATAGCTACTCCAAATGACCGTGGATGGTGGGGAGGGATATTCCTTTCCGGAAGAGTCCTCTGAAGTAAACCCAAAGCTGTATGGTCTGAGATGTTGAGACTCCAGCAGGGTAAGCTGGTTGTATGGGTTATTAAACTGTAGATTAAACCACTTTTCAAAATCTGACATCTTTTAAGCTTCTGTTATTCACTGGAAGATGAACACACCTTGCCCCTTCATCAGCTGTATGCCAACATCATGCACTCCTACCTACTAGAGCAAAAGAAGACATACCAGAAGTTCAGTTAGCATTTTTGCTCCCTTCCCCATACCTTTATGAGAAGGCTGCCCAACAGAAGTGGATCTGTACAATTCCTACCCCTAGTCTCTGTGCCTGCTTGGTCTCCGAAGACATCAGCTCTGCTTTGGGACGTTTGTGCCTGTAACAAGTGACAGGCATGTGAGAACACTATGTTCCTGTCATCTTTTTGCTAGAGTTCAAGCACTGAGTTCTTAGTTTCTCCTGTAGGTTTTTCCATGATCCTTTGCTCCTTTGAATATTCTATGTTGTGCTGAGCCACCTTAAAGACCTTTTGTGGAGAGGGTGGGCTCCTATTTCAAGAGTATGCACACAGAAGGTTCCTTTCTGTGACTTTGCACAAACACAGCTTTTCTTCTCTCTATGCCACCATTGAGACTCCTCAGACCCATACTCCATTTTTAAAGGATGATAATTTTGACCTGGAATTTTTAATGCTTTGTTCCAGGACTACTATTTAAGCTTTAAAGTGAGATATATGAGTCAAAGTTTTTACCAGTACAGAATATGAAGAATTAATTTTATTAAGATGGTATGATTCTTAGTACATGCGTGCAGAAACCAAGCCATGAAAAGCAAGCCACAGCTGGTGCTGGAGCAATGTGTTGTCTTCCCATGCACTGCTAAAAAGACATCACTGTTGTCAGTTCTTGTCCCCAGAAGTACCTATTTTCTCTCACTGCCTATCCACCTGCTCTTCTGCAAGTCCTCTTTCCTGAGCTGCTTTCTCTTGGTGAACCAGGCACTGACAGACATCACAACCACACATACTGGAGGAGCAGAAGCGGTCATTAGTGGGAGGTACGGGCAAGGGTAGGTGAACGGTGCAGCGTGTCACCACAGTATTCAATAGCCAGCACTGTGTGAGGTAGCTGTGGAAATGAAAATGCTTGCCAGCTGGATGAAGGCACAAGGAGTGTTGTTGGGTAGTTTGTTTCTGTACAAAGGAATCCATATAGCGGTGACCTTTAGGTTGTGGGAGCTTCTTATACAACTTCTCTTTAAACTGCAGACACAGTAGGAAGTTCACTGTGGTGGTGGCACTTTGTAGGGGTAGCTCTTCTGGATTCCTTAATCTCACTTAGTCCACCCTTTTGCAATAGAAGTTCCAGTACTGCATTAATACATTTGGGAAGACGGCCTGTACATCTAAAACTGTAATCTGTTCCTGAGAAGCTTGTTAGACGGAATGCATCTATGAAATAAAACTTTATTTAAATATAACAGATTTTTAATAGGTAAATATAAGCTTAATAACATTGTTGTGAGTTAATTAAATACCCTTCTGGATTTTGCTACTCTATGGATTCACATCCATGAACATACATATATATATATATGTATCTATGTCAGAGTTGAATACACTTTGACTGGGTTGTTTTAGATACCCACATGTGGAAGGTGTAATGTTTAATACCCACTATGGTGGCCTGCCTAACTCTGGAAGATGTTTATACCATGGGTTGATCCACTCACCTGTTGATAGCTCTTCATCTAAAACAAAGGTCACCCTTCAGTTCTGTTTGTGTCGAGCTGAAATCAGCTTGCTTTGCAACAGCTGTGGTCAGTCATGCATTACAGTATTCCCTGAGCTTCATAGGCACATCCCTCTTACCAATTTCCACTCAGATGCTTTCCCTTCAAAGGGGTTTATTGGGCACCTACAATAATACCATCTCAATATATGATATATGGTATGAGAACAATATATTACATTATTCTATTATTCTATGATGGGGCTACTGAACTGATGGATGGGGTAGACCAGTTGATGTCATCTACCTGGACTTGTGTAAAGTGTTCGAAACTGTCCCACACAACATCCTTGTCTCTAAATTGGAGGGACATCAATTTGATGGATGGACCACTTGATGGATAAAGAACTGGCTGGATGGCTGCACATGAAGAGTTATGGTCAATGGCTCAATGTCCAGCTGGAGACCAGTAATGAGCAGTGTCCCTCAGGGATCAGTGTTGGGATCGGTCTTGTTTAACATCTTCATCGCTGACATGGACAGTGAGATTGAGTGCGCCCTCAGCAAGTTTGCCGATGACACCAAGCTGTGTGGTTCGGTTGATAACACTGGAGGGAAGGAATGCCATCCAGAGGGACCTTGACACGCTTGTGAGGTGGGCTGATGCCAACCTCATGAAGTTCAACCATGACAAGTGCAAGGTCCTGCACCTGGGTCAGAGCAATCCCAGACACAGCAGAGAAGAGATTCAGAGCAGCCCTGCAGAGAAGGACTTGGGGGTGCTGGTCAATGAGAAAATGAACATGAGCTGGCTTCAGTGTGCTTGCAGCCAACCATATCCTGGGCTGCATCAAAAGGTGCGTGACCAGCAGGTCGAAGGAGGTGATCCTGCCCCTCTGCTCTTGTGAGACCTCACCTGGAGTATTGTGTGCAGTTCTGGTGTCCTCAGCATAAAAAGGACATGGAACTGTTGGAACAAGTCCAGAGGAGGGCCATGAGGATGATCAAGGGGCTGGAGCACCTCCTGTATGAAGACAGGCTGAGAAAGTTGGGGCTCTTCAGCCTGAAGAAGGCTGCATGGAGACCTCATAGCAGCCTTCCATTATCTGAAGAGGGCCTATAGGGATGTTGGGGAGGGACTCTTCATTAGGGACTATAGTGATACGACAAGGGGTAACGGGTTAAAACTTAAACAGGGGAAGTTTAGATTGGACATAAGGAGGAAATTCTTTTCTGTTAGGGTGGTGAGGCACTGGAATAGGTTGCCCAGGGAGGTTGTGAATGCTCCATCCCTGGCACTGTTCAAGACCAAGTTGGACGAGGCCTTGGTGATATGGTTTAGTGTGAGGTGTCCCTGCCCATGGCAGGGGAGTTGGAACTTGATGATCTTAAGGTCCTTTCCAACCCTAACTATTCTATGGTTCCATTATTATATGTATATATATATAAAAATCCCCTATAATGCCAACATTATTGTGTTCCTGCTGTGATGAAGGCATATGCCAAAGGGGCAGGATTGGTGAGCTGGCTTGAGCTGCACCACCTGAGGCAGCATGGCTGGAGCAGACATTCCTGCTCCCTGCCTGAAAGGCAAAGCACGTTGCTCCCCAAGGCATTTGCTAGAAAGCAAGCTACCAAAAGGAGATGGCAGGTTGTTGTGTGTGGTAGATGCCTCTGCACAGACACTGATGCATAACTGGAAGGATATAATGGGCAAGTTTACAAGGGACTGGCTGTGAAGAACATGGTACAGAGCATATTTGACTCTGATGACAGGTTATTTTTCTTCACTGGCACTTACGATGTGAACTGCCTTTGTTTTCATCTCGCTGATGTAGGGCAACATTCGCAAAAGCTGAATTCAGTAGTGGCCTAGTTGTAACATCTCTTTTATTTATTTCTCCAACGAATTTACAAGTGGCTATGAACTAATGGATGCTTCATTTATGAGGAAAATCAGTGTAAGAAAGTAGGTAGTGTTTAAGAACATGTATAAATTTCCCACCTTGGCTGCAATGAGTTACAAACTACAGGTGTTTTCAGGAAAATGCTATTTCTTCAGTGCTTCCTAACAGCTCAAAGCTCCTTATCAAAGGTAAGAGAGTGCTACACTCTCCTTTTGTCCTATCTTTTAAATCAGCTGTAGCAATGTTATGTGTCAAGATTGGGGCTGGAAGATGCATCTTTCAATTGCAGACCTTTACCATGCAAAACCACCCAACTACACTGTTGCAGGCTGCTTCTCTCAGTTCATGAAGGCTCTCATGGCAGTGGTTTGGGCTCTCCGCTGGCATTTGTGTTTCCCCATCACTCTGGGAAGTGTGAACTCTTTCATGGTGGTTTCTAGAAGGAAGAACAATGCTGCACTTTATTCCATCTGACCAAAGCTCTCCACTTTATAATCCAGCCAGGCACTGCTCATGGAGCAGAATGGAGCCCTGCAGCTTGTTTGGCCATTCAACATTTTCATGTATGTGGTGACATTTAAGACAGCAAGTTTACTTAAGGAGGAAATTCTTTCCTGTTAGGGTGGTGAGGCACTGGAATGGGTTGCTCAGGGAAGTTGTGAATGCTCCATCCCTGGCAGTGTTCAAGGCCAGGTTGGACAAAGCCTTGGGTGAGATGGTTTAGTGTGAGGTGTCCCTGCCCATGGCAGGGAGTTGGAACTAGATGATCTTAAGGCCCTTTCCAACCCTAACTATTCTATGATTCTACTTGACATAAAGCCTGTTTAGACCATTGTGGTGACTGGGGTGTGTATTTGTGCATTGCTAGCTCTCTTTGCTAGCAGGGAGGTTCACAGCAAGACTCACTGACTGAACATGGTCCAAGAGTTTGCCTGGCAAATCCTGTATTTCTTATCTGATTAATTAAATGGTTCAGTAAAGGATGGAGAAGACCTTCTCAAACTGCTAAGAAATGCTTCCTTGAAAGGGCTTTTGAATAACCTGCATCTGTGAGGGGTTGACAAGACACAGCCATGTGGTGCAGAATGGAACCCGGTATTTTGGGGGAGGGAAATTTGCTCAGACCAGGGTTAGTTCCCTGTCAGATGGGAATGAACAAACATCATTCTCACCACTACCTCCAGCCCAGAACCACAGCAACCTGAAAACTTGTTACTTCCTGAGCCTATGCACTCTTTTGCTGGCAGCCATACATGAAAGCAGTTGGCCTATCTAAATTAAGTGCCGCACATAATGGAATATCAATCACTGCTGTTAACTCCAAAGTGATAATGTAGTTAGGGAGAACAAATTGCACTGAGGAAATACGGGTGTTTTTTTTTTAGTCTCAAAGCGATCTCTTAGTGTAGCAACCTCTGGAGCTAATATTAGGTCTGGGAATTTCACAGGCACTAATAGGATTAGGCACATGACTTCCTTTTCAGCCTAATGGGAGTCAAGTGTTTAATTCCCTTGAGCTTCTCTGAGATTTCAGCACAGATTCAGAAGCGGCACCCAAACCATCAGTACACCCAGATCTCCTCTGACTGTCCCCCAGGCAAGGATAGAATTGCTAATCCACCATCAGAAGGGTAGATGGCCTTTCCAAGGAAAAGCACTCGGTGTGCAACCTGTGACAAAACAGTTCATGCTCCAACTCAAAATGTAAAACAAAATATCATAACTTCATATAGTACCTTTTCAAAATATGAAATAATAGAATTGTGCTCTTTCACTCACAAGAGGAAACCTGTTCTTATTTACCAACAACTCATTTGGGGCATGGGATGAGGGATCTCAAGTCTTACTCAGCTTCAGTTTGGTGTTTATGGCAAGGTTCATGGTGCCTTTCCATCTTCAGGAACAGCTGAAAAATACTAATGGGAGTGTTAAAAGTAGTGAAGACCTGCTCGCAGTGCTGCTAGAGGGCTCTGGATGTAAGTAGCATCATCTGTTAGAAATATTTACTGTTAATTCTTTTGGGGGGCAGTGCTATTCAGAGCAAGAATTGATGAGAGATCTCATTGTCCCTTCTCTCCTATCTGTCAACGGTATCTTTTGTTTTACAGCTGCCTTAGATTTATTACTAAGTGTCAGTGTCTAATAGGATCAAATCCTGAAATAGAAACATGTGACAGAAAAAGCCTGTGCTGCCTGGATGTCTTTATGATCTCAAAACATACAGTACTGTTGTGTCTCTGGTTGCTTAGTCCTCCTCTGTGAAATCACATATGCACTGAAATTAAGAGGTGTAAATTGCCAGTTTAACCCTCTGTGAGGATCACTGCTATCTCGGCATTTAGGGTATAAGACTTTCAAAAATGAAGGCTAGTGCTAACAGAGCATCTTACCATTTGATGGTAGTGTAAGAAAAAAGGCTCTTCCCAATGGGACCCACTCTGTGAATGCTTTGGATGCCAAAATCCACACTCCACCCCTGCTACTATGCATAAAAGCATCTGACATCTTCATAACAACATTCCAGTGCATGCATAAAAGCTGTCCTCTACCCACAAGATGGGTTTCGTTATACCTGTCATGTCACTGCAGAATGCAGGAAAAGAAATAGGACTCTATAAAGTGGAGGATTCTTATCTGAATATTCACTTCTAGGCTTATGATGGCTTTCTGAGCCTCCTCTTCAGACTTCATTATTCCTGTAGTATTTCCATTTGCCACCCAGGGACGACCTGCACGAGGTAAGCTTGCAAGGGAATCTCATTTCTAATTAATACAGTATTTTACTTAATGACTAATAGCTTTTGACATGGTAATTTTGAAATGGGCTTTCCCTTGATGAATTCAGAGAAGAGTATTTAAATAATGGTTCCCTCCTCTCCCCATCAATTTTTGATTAAACCTTGGACATGTGCGCTCTTCCCCAGGCTGGTACAATGGACAAGCAGAGATCTTTATTGCCTAAAAAATCAAATTATAAATGTTATGGTGTAGTCCTTACCAATTTCACTCACACTCTTCAGAAGCTAGTCCTAAGCAGGAGCATAAATGAAGAGAAGGCACAGCCCAGAACTACTCTGTTACAATATGTCTGTAAACCTAGCAAAACCATAATTAGCTGGTTAAGTTTATTTTATTAATGTTTCCCACAATGTTCTCTAAAGGGACTTCTAGAAATGACTACGCATGTGTACTTCTAAAGCGTATGAAGTGAAAATGAATAGAGTCATGAATATATGCTGAAGGAAAGGGTTGTATTTTGCCTGGTCTGTACAGCCTCCAGCTAAGGGTATACAAGTGCATGAACTGCAGTGTGTGGCTCCTAAAGCAACTTAAGTAACGGTGATTTTCCTCCTGAGCTATGAACTCAGCTGGCTGTGATATGGGTTAAATAAATCCTGATCTATCTATGCACTTGTGACAGGTCAGAACAGGTTGCATATTTCTAGCGATGCAGTCACCTTCCTGGTGGGTGCTATCAAAGCCCCTCTACTTGAGTTGATTGTGGAAACATCTCATGACTGTGTCTTACCTCCCCCTTTCCCAAAATACAGGCCGTGTTCAACTTTTTATCTTTCTGTGCTTCTAACTCCTTCTCTCAAGATAGTATAACCTTCCAGATAAACAAGAAATAAGCCCTTTTCTTCTAAGGTCTTCAGGGTCAAGAAGAAGTTCAAAACTACACTGGACTCTCCCACTCAAACTCAGTGTAAATGAGAATGAAACTCCACATACAAGCCTTCTTTCTTTTGAGCTAGGATAAGTGCTTTCAATTTCCATGCAGTAAAAGCTGACTGTCTCGCAGTAGCTACTGTGGCTGCATACTCAGCAGGGCTGGATGATATGAAAAGGGAGCTGCTAAGGGAGCGGGTTCAGCAGTGGGTGACACAGAGAAGCAGCACACATGACCTGCTGGAGAGAGTGCTAGATGCTGTTGGTTTGGATCTTCATGTGGAAGACCAGCTAATTAGACCTAGTGCTTCTCTGCTGGCAGTTGAAGTGTTCCTATTTTACTGTTCTGGTCCAGGATTGACATCCTGAGAATACTCCAGAGCTTCTGTCTGCTGGCACCTGACCTCATTTCTGCCTGTGCTGGAAGCATTGAGAAGTTGTTTGGATTTTTGCTGAGCTGTAAAAGGCTCTAGGATCACTTCATTATTACTAGTTAGTTTCTAAATAGGCTTGAGTGACTCAGGAAATGGATATAAATGACCTGCTAGGGGAGAAGAAAAGGAGGCAAGTACAGTGGTGCCTCAGCTGCAAACCTGATGGGGTTGAATTACTCTGGTCTTCAGAACTAGTTTGGAGTAAGAGCCGTTTTGTCTACTTTTTCCTCTTCCTCCTTTTGTTTTGTTCATGTGGCATAGGAGGAGAAAGAAAAATTGTTTGCACCATTAGATACATAACATTATCATCCTGATAATGATGTTCATACTTTCATACTCAAGAGTTCACACTCAAAATTTCATACTTTGAACTTCTTTACCGAGGTGGATAAGAGCACCTGTAACATACCCAGCATTTCATCTGTGAGTTCAAACACCTTTCTCCTCATGCCTGCAAGGTGAAGCTGCCTCTGATAGCTGAAAGAATCTGCCTTTTGGTAGCATTTTCACTGGATTAGTAGGGGTTTTGAGAGCTGTAATACCATAGCATCATGCTTGACGGTAGAAACTAAGGTAGAGGGTTTTGGCTCCCAAGATGGCTGCTGTTCAGAGCCTGGCTGGGCACTGCTTGCAGGAGGTGCTATTTCCTTTGCTTCATTTTTACTTCTTTCCTTCACCTATTAAACTGTCTTTGTCTCAACCCATGTATTTTCTCACTTTAATTCTTTTTCTTTTCTTCCCCTGCCCCACTGGGAATGGAGGAGTGAGAGTTGTACGGCTGCTGTCCAGGGCCAGCCCACTATGTGAAACAGAAAAAAATGTTATTATGATACTTATACGGTTATTATGATGATACATTTTTTTAATGAAAAATCTTTGTTTGGAGGTCACCAAATAGGAACGGTGGGGTATATGGATTAGAGGGCACAAGGAATTTTACGTAAATGACTGTTACTGCTAGCAAATCCTGGGATCCTAGGATCTACTGTGATACTCTGGGACCTCCATTATCTTAAGGGCTACCAGGCAGTCAGGCAAAATTGGACAGAAGGAATCAAATTACACTGGTGACACTGCTAGTTTTATCTTTGTCCTGATCAAAACCTGGCGTAGGCATTTTTGTTTTCTTCCTATCACACGCTTGCCTGGTGGGAATCATTTCCCTTCCTCAACACTATTTATCATTCTGTCTTCTTTTCTCTCTGCCTCCCCAAAATAGGATGGTTCATACCATCTTCAGACTCAGCAGGAAGATTTTCAAACGTGAATGTTTCCATTCCAGCAAAACATAAGGCAATTAGGGATACAATTTAACTGCTTTCCTTCCTTCTTCCTGCTGCTTAAGTATTTGAAAGAATTTCAATAAGGGCTGTCCCAGTAGGGACCTGAAGACCAACAGTGTATTTTAGGATTTAGTATTTAACAATGAGCCAGGGTTTAATTAACCTTCCAGCTCTTTGGGAGACCTGAGAGAGAGGATCCAGTGCCTCCCCAAACCACTGCTGCTTCTCTTGCAGTTACTGAACACGTTAATGTCTCTGATCCTGTATTTAGAACTACAGCTATATTTTATTATGCTCAAGTTAAAGTTCTAAATATTTTACAGAGATAATGAAATTCCTTATCCTGCCTTGCAGAGAATGTAATTTAAACAAATCAGTAATAGAAGAGATGGGGGAAAAATAAGGAAATTCAGGAGCAGAGATGGGGTATGTTGCCTTCCCCTTTTGCTTGATACCTGTGCCATGTGAGTTTGTGCTTCAGAACATATGAAATAGGACAGAAGGGGACAATAAGAAATTTAACCTTTTGTTTACATTAACCAATATATGTGTACAATATACACATATGGCAGATCTGAAACCGTTTCTTTCTCTGGAACAATTCCCACCTTTCAAGTCAGACTTCATTCCTGGTCTAGGAGGGGGAGTTCCCAAAAGCCACAGAAACTGCCCATGAAACTAGCCTAACCCAAAACAAGCCATGTAACATGATTCCTCCAGAGGAGGCCACAGAGGTGGTGAGAGGGCTGGTGCACCTGTCCTATGGAGACAGGCTGAGACAGCTGGGCATGTTCAGCCTGGAGAAGGCTCAGGGGAGACCGCAGAGCAGCTTCCAGTGCCTAAAGTGGCTCTACAAGAAAGCTGGAGAGGGACTTCTTACAAGGTCATGTAGTGATAGGACAAGGGGGAATGGTTTTAAATTTAAGGTAGAGATTTAGACTACATTTTGGAAAAAAATTCTTTACTGTGAGGGTTAAGAGGCACTAGCACAGGTTGCTCAGGTAAATTGTGGCTGCACCATCTCTGGCAGTGTTCAAGGCCAGGCTAGATAGGGCTTGGAGTAACCTGGTGTAGCAGAAGGTGTCCCTGCCCATGGCAGGGAGATTGTAACTAAATGATCTTTAAGGTCTCTTCCAACCCAAACTGTTCCGTGATTCTATGATTCATGTTATCCTGACAGGATTGCATGACGGCAGTGACTATTGGGTGTACAAATCTCTAAGGCATCAGCAAAAAGAAACATCACAGCAGAACATTAACAACTGTAACTGAAAATTTTGATGGTGAAAATCTTAAATTCTCTGTATCTTTAAAATCCTGTTGCAGAGAAGTGGTGAAATGAGCGGAAGTCCTGTGGCTGCAAGATTTGAGTGCATATACAAAGTTGGAAGAATAGACATCAGCTGTTGAAACAGTTAGTGAGGTGCAGTTAAAATTAGCCAGAAGAGTTGAGTCTACATTTTCAAGTGTAACAAGAGAGTTTGTGCACCTTGTTTCAGAGGAGGGACCATTTTTTCTGAGGTTGCTTTTCCTGCTGGTGTGTTCTCACACACCCAGATCCCTGTTCCTGTACGCATTCACTTAAGGAAGTCAATGGCAGGTGCTATGGCCATGTTCAGCCAGCATGCCTCTGATGGCTTTGTGCAGAAGCCAGACTGCAGTACTGATGAAAGATTATTGTGCACTTCTGTCCACATCAACCTGAAATTCAGAGGAAGCTGAGATACATGCAGACTTGGAATACTCTTCCTGTCTAATAACATCTATGCAGTCTTTCCATCCAGTCACATAGATGCCTCCTACATTAATCTGCTCCTTCCCTTTACTGCACTTCAAAGTCAAGATCTACCCCACTGGTGACCTACTTGGGCAGTGAGCCTACTGCTGTAATAGAAATGATAATGCTGATACTCAGGAGAAGCATTTGTCCAGGCTCTGTCTGGCTATAAACTACCTCCAGTTCAGCTCCTCCTCTCTCACTGATTCATCATTTAAAGTGCAGGTATAATTCTCCTCTGCTAATGTGACTAGGGAAAAACTTCAGGCACCTGATACCCAACAAACTGAAATGATGAAGACAATTTGCTAATTGCTTTGCTGAAGAGAATGTTATAGGCATGAATGTGATTTTATCTTGCTAAGCATGTTGAAAAACTGGACAGAATGGAAGCACCAAGGTGGCCTTGTGTCTATGATTGGGTCTTCTGAATAAAAAAATTAATGTTCACTTAAGACATGTATGACTTAAGTAGAGACAAAGAGCATTTTAGACGTTGGTGTAAAGAGGAACATTCTGACTGCAATTCAGGTGATCCCTTTTTCCCTTTCCCACATTTTCCCCAAAAGAAAATTCCCTCCATTCATTGCAAAATGCAAGGTAAAAGTACGAATTGTCAAAGTCCTGATTTCCAGGTGCTTTATTTTTTTTCTGTATAGTTTGCTATAACAGAACTACTTCTCTAGTCCCATCAGAGACCAGTCAATTTCAGTTCCCAAATCAAATTCAAGTGTTTTTGACAATTAAACACCTGAGAACACAGGGAAAAGTTGTCCTTAGTATTCTAGATCTTCTTGCTTATGTTAATTTTTTTTTTTTTTTTTTTGGTTGCAGGTAAGATGGTTTGGGAATAAACCACAAATGCAGATGTATTTGCTTCACTTCCTATAGAAACAGCTAGCAAGGTTAGGACTTTATTTAACAGAAACAGCTATGCTGCAAAGCTACATTGCAATGCTACAGCTATGCTATAACAGCTAGTGAGAGGTGACTGAATACATATGAAATTCTGTGGTGATTAAAAAAAAAGGGGACAAGCACTCTATAGTAAAGGGAGATCACTGGAAGAGATTCCTGCTTATTTGACTTATAATCCTGCCTGTTTTCCTTCCTTGTGTTGTTTAGGACTTTGCAGGACAGACACAAGACATGAGTTACCTTACTGGAAGGAATTTATCATTTTCTGCACATGCACGCAACGGTGTTTTTATGTTTCAGTAAATCACGTATTTGCCACCCAGTTATTACTTATACTGTAAAATGATGTATAAATGGTGCCATTTTTTTTAAATAAAATTGTGCCATGACACATCTTGATTCATAGCACTAAAAAAAAGTAATGAAAAAGTCTTAGTGTCCAGCTGCTCACCT